CCGCATCCTGCAATCGAACTATGTGATTTGGTCAGGAGCACCACCGTGTTGAGCGAGTCTCGTCGTCCAGGGAGGGACTGAATAACTCACTAGGGAGGTGAGCTGGGTCGTGTCAGCCGTGAAAGGACCTGTCTGGAACACTCAACTGAAGTTCCAAGTATTAGCAATGACAGCTGTCTGCAGAAACTGTTTTGTCATGCTAGATTTAAGATATGTCATTATTATTCTTTTGTACTACTACTGTATTATTATACGTATTTACAGTACTGTATTATTATTTTTGTTTTGTTATCATTTCATGACTCTAGAGCAAAAATAAAATCTACAAAATGCATAAAAATGGCACCTGTAACATACACAAATGATAAATTGGCAAAGCCATTACGAATTAAATTATTACAGCCATGATACCCTCCTCGTTTGTTATGATGAGGTCTAGTGGTTTGGGTGTTTGCTCCCCTCTGTAATGAGTAGGGCCTTTAACATGTTGGAACAGAAAATTATCTCTCAGAGTTTTTACAAAAAGAGCAGCGTGTGTTATTTAAGTAATTTGGCGTGGTATCATTTCTCCAGTCAATGTCGCCATAGTTAAAGTCTCCCATGACAAGGAGGTGGCTAGGGTTGAGCACCAATGCACTATCTATTAAGGTTCCTAAGTTTCTCTGGTTTGATAAGCAACAGTTTGTCGAGGATCTGTAGATACACCCGACAATAAGTGAGTCTCTCCCCTTTAATTTAATATTTCACAACTTGGATTTTTCAAAAAACATCCTCTCCCTATACCTTCACCTGGCTGGCTCGAAGGTCTTGCCTAGCATAGATAACCACACCCCTCTTGCAAGTTGCTTGAGAAAGGTTTGTAAATGAGTCATATCCATCTATACTGAATTCACATTCCTACGGGTCGATTCTCCTGTTCTTGTACAACAGTTCTACAACACCTATTATATTGGGTTGATGTACAGTCTCGTTCAAGATTCTTCGAACACTGCTTGAGACACCTGGCAACTCAAGGCCGTTTGTTTGCTATAGTACGTAGTAAAAATTATGAATGAATGTAAAAGGTTATCGGTAATTGGTTACTTGGTTCCCTGTTGCTTAACTAATGGTTGGGCTCTGTTGTTTCGTATTATATTATACTACGTTGCCAGGTGTCGCCAGCAGTGTTCGAAGAATCTTGAACGAGACTGTATCTTCAGTAGAGTTTCAAACTCCTCTCTCTTATCAAGGACCATGTCAGTATTAGTCTACATGACTTTCAAGCTGGCATTTTTTCTTGGTAACGTCTCTGCTCTTGGTAGTGACTCTGGCCCTCCCTTCTCAGCAACTGCAGCATTTGCTAAATATATTGTATCTTGCAGGGTGTGGTCAGAGATGTCATCGTTTACATGGCACTCGCCTCCTCCTGGATGTGAGGTAGAGCGGGTAGGGGGTGTCCCGCTGTTTCCTGGCTCTGTGCTGGCACTTTTGCTTCCACTACCCTCCTCCTGGACATAACCCATGTACATCAGTCCCTGTTCCTCCTCGACTCCTCCCTCCTCTGCTTCAAGCCCTATAGGAGTTTTTTGTGCTGTTCCCTCTGCATGACTGTCTAAACTTGGGATAAAAGTTAACAGTACTATACATTCTTAGAAAAATTCACAGACCTGGTAATGACCTGATCCTGACCCTAACTATAAGTTTAAAATTGAATAAATACTGTAATGAAGTCACTTATAGACATCATCAGGTCATTACTTAAGTGTTGAGGCCACCCAGGGTAGTCGTGTCATACCCCTGGGCCCTGCTTCTCGGGTAAAGAATGTGGAAATAAAATTGTCAGTAAGTTTTAAGTTTCGTATCATTTATTCATCTACCACAACATCTTGTCAACAGTACTACAATATATATATATATATATATATATATATATATATATATATATATATATATATATATATATATATATATATATATATATATATATATATATATATATATATATATATATATATATATATATCCTCTCACATACTATACATAATACAGTTCTGCCATCATCAACTAAACTGCAGTTACACCTTCATCTGACACTTACTTACCGGTAACTACAATGTTATGTGTACTCATACAATTTAAATTAGTCAATTACACCCTATGGGTAATTAAGTTTGATATCACAATGAAGTACAGTACAGTACAGTAGTCATTACTCTTAAAGAAAACAGACTGAAGACAAATTTATAACTTAATAATATAAAACATTTTTAAGACAAAATTTTCTTTATTTTAATGACTAGGTCTTTGTTGCATCTTTTAATTGCTGTAAATAATAATTTATTATTTTTAGAACAATTCACAAACATTAATTTTGTATTGATAACATCTGGCACATTTGAAACAGATCACTTGCTTAATGTGGCAATAGGAACTGAATACATTGAACTTTTGGCACATATTTTATAACATAGGAAAAGTTGTTCCCAACACAAAGAGATGGGAGAGAAGATTAATAGAATTTCCATAAGACATTCACACATCCACACCACATTTGCACATCCATATTCACAGTCACACATCCAGACCACATTTGCACATCCATGTCCACAGTCACACATCCAGACCACATTCACACATCCAGACCACATTCATACATCCAGGTCCACAGTCACACATCCAGACCACATTCACACACCCAGACCACATTCACACATCCACACCACAATCACACATTCAGACCACATTCACACACCCAGACCACATTCACATATCCACACCATTCACACATCCAGACCACATTCACAATTTATATATCACAATCACAGAGAAAGAAATAGAGTCTGAATGTAGGTACAGTATCACTAACATTCTTGAAGTAATACACAATACACATTCTTCAATAGCTAACACATCATATTATGGGTCAAAGACAGGAAGAGCTAAGTATATGTTGATAATGTATGTTTAAAATATACAGAGAAAATCACAAACATCCGCCTTAATTGATCTATCGGTGAAAATTTGACTCGTTAGGCATAAATTTCTCTAAGACGTTAATAATTATTGTACAGTCTATCATCACCGCCTAATTCTCAGGAACTAGTACATTGTATAAGTCTCTCCTGTAAATTATAAGGTAATCCCCAATTCATGTATCAATTACATCAGTGTGCATCTATGTTGTAACTTCTACATCAAAGAAAAAAAATTAACAATCCAATGTCATCCAACTGAGTGTTAAACCTTCCCACCTGATCATCAATGTCCTCATAAATACATCATAGTACATCTTACTTCACTAACCTTCAATATCACTTATTTCTGTTATCATGTCACCATTAAATCACTTATTCACTGGTATTATATATGTTCTGTATCTTCTTTGCACCGCCCTGTTCTTCACTACTTTGTTCATATGCAGTCTCCTTATTACCTGGAATCCCCAATCCTCATAATAAAACAGAGTAACATAATATGCAGTACAGTACAGTAATTCTTGTATGACCATTATTTATATACTTACCATTTATTATGTGTGTTTGCCTGGATCCCTAAGGAAAATATTTCACCAGAGAAGTAAAGCCTCAGTTGGATGATGGAGAGTAAACAGATCATAAGAGACATTCATCGACTGTAAGCAATATACAGTACAGTACTAATAATAATGGTTTGTACAGTATTTCCACACTAACCTGGCCAATAAGCCATGCCCCTCTTCTATACTAATAGCTGATTGGTTCATAGAAAATTCAAACAACAGTACACTGTACAGGTAATGTGTTCACAAATGGTAAGCAGACCCTGTTATATCTAAAATAATTTTAAATATCTGAACTGTCAAAATGCAAATGATTTCAAAGCATCAGCACTTCAGAGAGGATGGTAGAAAATGTTTACCCAAATATTTATCATAAAAGGTCAATATAAATATGCACTTATACACGCATAGTCCTGGGGGAGGTAAGACGCTCGGGAACCAATCAGCTATTTGTAGCTATAGACGAAGGACAGGGCTTATGGGCCAGCTTAGTGTGGAAAGAGTATAGTCATTGGTAATTGCAAGTTCATAATATTATGTGATAATATAATGCTCTTTTATTTGAAAACCTATAATAAAAAATGATGCAAATGTTTTACTGTAAATCTATATAAATATACTACAGTATACTGTGTTTATCTTATTAATAACTAAAACATCTTTCAAAATTAGCTCATAACCTACCCACTCAAAAACAAAGAAAAGAAAAGAAGTTAACTTGGCCTTTCATACACCTTGGGAGATTAGATACAATTCAAGTGTTATACAAACATATCCTGTGTGGATTTCAATTATCCACACACATGAAGAGTTAAAAAATTATATCACAACTTAAATAGGGTAACACTAAAGTCTAGTATGGAATTCTCAACTACGTTAGACCACGGTAACTGGCACAATACTGTACAAACACAGTCTTCAGTGTTTGTATAATATTTCTATATTCCTAAAATAATCAATAATTAGTACAGTGAAACCTCTATATAATGGAATACCTGTATATGGAGAAGAAAGTCCATTATATCAAGAGTCTGTTAAATGTGAAACCTTAATCTGACGAACTATATAGAAATGAAAGTTCATTCTATCGAGGGTCCGTTAGATGTAAAACCCCCATCTCACAGATTATATGGAGAGAAAAATCCATTATATGGAGGTCTCCCTGCATCATTACCCTCTGAAAGATATATCTAAATAATGAAGGGTTCGTATAAGCACATCTGGGGGGTGCTGGTGGTAGAGTGGTACCGCTCTTGCCTTCGCAAGCGAGATGTCACGGGTTCGATTCCCAGGCCGGTGGAAGTTGTTTGGACACACTTCCTAGCCCCCATTAGTCCCTGTTCACCTAGCAGTAAAGTAGGTACCTGTTGTAAGTCGAAAGTTGCAAATTCGTATTCAGGGACAAGTTGTTGGAGCTTCCAATAACTTGATGACACAAACCATTGACTCTTCAGGCTTCTACACCCTTAACTCATGAGACATAAAGGCAAGCATGAACTTAGCATGCTTCCCTGTTGGGCACTGTAAACGCTTCTGCGCTTCACCTTACACAAGGATGTAGGGGAGTGCCCAATAAAAAAAAAAATAAAATAAAAAATAAGCACATCTGTTATGGTGGATTTAACAGAAATTCATTAGTCTTAACACCGGGTAGAGACCACCTACCCATGAACCATAAGTCATTCTCTAGACAAAGTAAACAGTGTATAAAATAAGCACAATATGTGTTCTTTAGCATTTCAAAATTCAACACAGACATGCACTACCAATCAACTCACATACAACAAATATAAAAAAGTTTTTAAGCCATTATAATAATTGAAAAGTAAATTATTTGTAAAAAAAGTTTTTCTTATGACTAGTCTAAGGAAAATTTGAAGGATTTACTGACAATACCTCCATTATGGTTTATAAATGTCCAATAAGGTTAAGTTAGGTTAGGTTAGGTTAGGTTACATTTTTCTTTTTTTGGGACACTGCAAAACTTAGGAAATATTACAAGACTTTCTGCCTACTCAAAATATCTTTCACTTTGCATATCAAAATAATCTTCCCCCTGCGGTGTGTTTTGGGTGGGTTAGTGTACAAGTCATCACTCACTAGCCTAAATGCACTTCCTCTTTTATAAAAATTTCAGTACCACCTTTATTATTTACATATTCTATAGAATTATTTACACTATGACATTTCTTATCATCATCATCTGTGAAAGTACTACCATCAGCTGATTCTGTGTTAAAATTACTGCAATCTGAATCTGTTTCTGCTTCAGTTTTAATAGTAATCACATGTTTCATAAAATTATATTCCTGAGGAGTCTTAATATCTGTGCTGGAGTCCTCGTTAATGTACAATATAGTGCTGTCTTGTTTAAGAGTATTTTTATTTACAAGATACTCAAATTCCTCAGAGTCTTCTCTCACGTGACTGAACATATGTTGTTCGAGATTACTCTTTCTGGTAAATTCTTTTGCACATTTTGAGCATTTGTAGGATTTACCGCACACATGAGACAGCTTATGCCGGTTGAGTGTTCCTTTTTGAGTGTACTGTTTCCCACACTGAGTGCACTCATATTTCTCTCTTGTGTGTGTGAACATGTGCTGCTTTAGTTCCCCTTTACATTTCATTCTCTTCCCACACTCAGAACACTCCACTGGTTTGTTCCCAACGACGCTTTTGATGTGCCTTTTTAAGTCACCCTTAAATCTAAATTGCTTACCACATCCCGGACATTCAAAAGCTTTATCATCATTATGCGTAATCATGTGTTTCCGAAGGTGTCCCTTTAACTTGAACACTTTACCACATTCTAAGCATTTGTATGGAGTATCACCATTATGAACAGCTCTGTGCTGGTCAAGATTACTTTTTCTATTGAATTCTTTTCCACAATCAAGACATTTAAATAGTTTTTCATCTATATGAGTGGCCATATGCTGTTTCAAGTTCCCATTAAGGGTGAACTCCTTGCCACACACCGGGCACTTATACGGTGTCTCTCTCGAATGAGTTACTCTATGCTGTTGGAGATTACTCTTCCGGTTGAACTCCTTTCCACACACAGAACATTTAAAAGGGTTATCTCCCAAGTGGGTAAACATATGCTCCTTTAGATCACAGTTGTATTTAAATTCCTTCTCACACAGGGAACAGCTGTATGGTTTTTCCTCATTGTGGGTCAACATGTGGTGTTTTAGGAGTCTTCTTTGTTTGAATTCTTCCCCACAAATAGAACACTCGACCGGTTTCTTTCCCGTATGTATCGTCATATGTTGATTTAAATGACCAATGATTTTAAATTCCTTGCCACAGAGAGCACACTGGAAGGGCTTTTCATCAGAGTGGAAGAGCATGTGTCGCTTCATCATACTCCTGAACCTGAAAGTCTTCCCACACACATCACACTGAAATGGTCTCTCTTGTGTGTGCAGAATTAGATGTTCCTTTAGGTCTGCCATGTATCTAAAGTCCTCCTTACACTGATAACATTTAAAGGGCTTTTCTCCGGCGTTGAAGACCATGTGGTATTTTTTTCCCATTCGTATCAAGGTGGTGTGTTCATTAGCCTGCACCACCTCCTTTAAGCACATGAAGCATTTAAATGGATCTTTCATATTTTCACTCGAGTAGGTTAGCCCATTTATCTCTTCCCCACACGTAGAACATTTTATATCTTTCGTTACTGCGTCTGTAAACTCTTGCTGTTCCTGTTTGCTTTTATCCTCTAATGGTATTTCTGAACACTCTGCTGGTGACTGTTGTAACTCACAGGGTACATAATTAATAATACTTTTATCCTTTAAATCATCCATTGGTGTTTGCTCAGAGTTGTAGAGTTGAACTTGTAGATGACTATCCTTTGAAAATTTTAAATGAATCTCTTCTACTTCTAATGGTATTTGTTCACTTGTTTTACCCGTTAATTTTTCTTTCCTGTTCTCTAAAAGACAAGGTGCTTGTACTGCAGGTGTCTTTTCATTACTGGCATTCAAACACTTAAACAAAGTTTTTTCCATGTTTGTGGTTTTATTCTGGCATTTTCTACTTTTCGTATGATCTATGTCTATTTTTTCAGCATCAGTATCTCTCAATTTATTTTTACTGTCGTTCACATAATTCACATTTTCTTTCTTTGAAGGCTTTAATGAATTGAGCCCAATTTTAATGCTTTCTTGTCTTTCCTTTTCATTTACTGAGTAATCCAGAGGCATCTCTTCTATATCAGACATTCCGCACTCTATTTTCCCACCTCCCATGTCACAAAACAGTTTTTCTACATCAACTGTTCCACGTTTTTCACTTCCACACTCCAGACACTGTAGCAACAAGTGTTCACAGCCACAAACCTCCTCTGGAGGGCAGGTATATGGTCTGTGTTCCATTCTGTGTTTACTCTTTCCATCCTCTAAAAATGCAAAGGGTCTTTCATCCATTTCTGTCATTGTATTTAGACTTTTAACATCATTTTCTACACAAACAAATGGGTTATCGCTTGAGATTAGAAAATCATGCAAACTAGGGCTAATAGGATCCATAGTATACTTAATATCTATCACCACACGCTGTACTGGGCTTTAAGTTCATTTAAAGGTGAACTGAGAAAGGAATAAGGAGACAAATTATTACAGTAAAGACATTTGTAAGGCTTTCTTGTCAGGTAATCATGACATACATTAATTAGATACAAAAGGAAGACTATCTTGTGTTCTTAATGCAATATTAATCTGCACTCAAACTTAATGCAATAAGGCTGCATATTTAGGATGGAAAGGATTGTTGTACAGTATTATGAGAGCATCTCTGTGCTCTTCCCTCGGTGATGTTATCCATATGCATTGCTACAATACGTGGCTGATGATGGAGAGACCAGCAGTGCATCCCTCTCAGTTATCAGGTGACAGAGGGGACCATACAATACATTGGCTCTGCTCTGCAAAGGGATTTTCCAAGATTGCTGTAATTCTATAACATGTAACACCTCTAATTAGTACAATTAAACTTTGTCAAGCAAAAAAAAATCCATACCGTACCAGGAACATTACGAACTTAATAATATATAGATGTAGCTAATGTATATAATCAAATACAATTCCAATAAGCATTTTATCTCAAAATACATTATATAACCACATTATTTTAATTGCATTACACACTCACTGTCTGTTCTTTCTCCTTCTCCATAGCACTGTGACAATAGTTCAGCTACAGTACAATAAGCGACCAGAAAATGTAGACTTCATCGGGGCCGCTACACTCCATGTCTTGATGTATTAAGCTGCAGTCACTCTCCAATGTTCACATAGTGGCAATACATCCCTGAAAAACTGGATTAGCTTTAATATGTGTCTCATTATGCTGCAGGACTGTGCCGATTAAGTTAACAAACCTAATTTTTCATACTCAACAAATTTAGTTAATTAACTCAAATCGTTATACATTACAATTTCTCCAAATTAATTAACGTCAATTATTTTTTAAGTAAGTTTCCTTTAAAAAATGGGGGGTTTACGAGGGTTAGGACTCAGTGCTACTACAACATACAGTCTACAAAGATATCTTTAGTTTAACCTAACCAACATAACAAAGTAACCTAACCTTACCTAATGTAACAATGTAACGTAACCTTACCTAACCTAACCTAACCTTACCTAATGTAACGTAACATAACTTAACCTAACATTGCCTAACATAACAACCTAACCTTACCCAGTGTAACCTAACCTAACATTGCCTAACGTAACCTTACTTAATGTAATGTAACATAACATAATGTAACCTAAATATTTTATAGACTGCATGCACGTAGGACTCACCCCCCTCCTGGACCCATGGTCATGTAGGGTTAGTGGGCATGAGCATATGAACTGGGAAGGAAGAATCGAGACAGACAGTCAGGCAAATTGTTTCCACCGATTCAGACAAAATTGGATAGAATTATTGTAACGTATTTTCATTTTACTGTTTCCAGCCCTGTATTAAATTTATTAATCGACAGATTTGCCTGATTCATTGATTCGCCAAGTTTGTCAGCAACTACTGAATGTTTGATGTGTTAAAAATTAATTAGCGGATATTTTGCCATGACCGGCTAAGTTCCTACTAACGCTATTTTACCGTGAGTGCGCTAAGTACTTTCTGTTTAATATGACAGGGGGTTCGCCGCTCCCCCCCACCCCGGCTAGGAAGTTAGGTAAGGTTAGGTAGGTTTCTTTGGTTGGTTAGGTCAGGTTCTATTAGGTTCTAGTTAATGTCGCCTCTTTTATAAAGATAAGTTTCCATGCACAACGGAAATATAGTTAGGTATGTTTACAGCTACACAACGATCGACTCGCAGCGAAATAAATGCCAACTGCCGCTAGAGTCACGGTCAAATATTGTTCTCACATTGTTCAGCGGTAATGATTGATGAGCCACTCCCCGCACAGTCACGGTAAAATAGCGTTGAGGAACTACTGGTCACGGCAAAATATCCACTGCCAAAAATTATAAAAAGAAAACAAACATTAACAAATTGTTTACTATTATTGTATACCTGTATTGTTTATGTATATGTTGAACTAATGTGACGTTATATGCTTTTACAGAAGAAATACTGTAGCACTCCATCTACACCTTATATATCCTATGTCAAATAGTCATACACTTATATAACTATGCCTTTCCCCAACAGCCTATGATGAAGTGAGGGAAAAATTAGATACTATTCTGAAATTAGATACTTGTCTCATAAAACTGATTTAACGAGTTGTGTGAGGTAGAGGTGAGAGGAGGACTACCATGTATCAGCCCCATAACACAGTGAAACACCTCTTTATAACACCTCACTCTACTGACCTCTTAAAACATTATACAACACACACACAACAGAGAGGAATGTTACCGACCCCGAGGCTCACATCACTGACTGGTTTTTTTATTTGTGTTTATCTCTCCTTTATGTGTCACTTGAGAGCCAGATGACAGTGTTATGGCTCTATGACTCGTCTTCCCTTGAGATGGAAATTGAAACGATAATATATCTTCATATATAGGATCTCTTCATTTGTTTTATTTCTTATATTTTCCTCCTATGTGCATTATATTAAAGTGCCTTTTAATTTAAAACAGCTTTAGAATTGTGACTTGCATGAGCTGTTCAAATGTCTCGAAAATGGCAAATGTTCTTTAACATTACGAAATACAAGACCCTACATGTAGGATACAACAAACCTAGTTAATTCTGTACAGTACTGTTAATATGTTAATAACACTTTTCTGACGAGGAGAAAGATCTCGGCGTTGTGACAGATCAGACACTGAAGATAGTACAAAATGACCACACAGCAGAAACGTGCTTAAATGTCATGCTAAATTATCACTTACTTTTACTCACTTTTATCCTCTTCACCACTAATCGGCTCGTTAGCCGCTTGGGCGATCGGTCACGTCTCTTTTACGCACTGTTGGCAAGTACTGGGCATGCACCGGCTCCTGAATGTACTTACAGTACA